CGCCGGGCGGCCGCGCGCCCCGGCCGGGCGCCGCCTCAGCCTGGGCCGCAAAACTTTGCTGGCGGCCGCGGCCGGCGTGGTGATGCTGCTCGTGCTCGTGGTGCTCATCCCGGTGCTCGTGAGCTCGGCGGGCACCGACGGCCGCTACGAGATGCTGGGCACGTGCCGCATGGTGTGCGAGCCCTACGGTGGGCCGCCCCCCGCCGCCACCGGCGCTGCCGGCCCGCTGGGCGATCGCGGCGCCCTCCCGCCGCCCTCCACCTTGGTGCAGGGCCCGCAGGGCAAACCGGGCCGGCCGGGCCCCCCGGGGCTGCCGGGCACCGGGGCGGCGGGTGCCGTGAGCACGGCCACGTACAGCACCGTGCCCCGCGTCGCCTTCTACGCCGGCCTCAAGAACCCGCACGAGGGCTACGAGATCCTCAAGTTCGACGAYGTGGTCACCAACCTGGGCAACAGCTACGATGCCGCCTCGGGCAAGTTCACCTGCGCCGTCGCTGGCACCTACTTCTTCACCTACCACGTCCTCATGCGCGGCGGCGACGGCACCAGCATGTGGGCTGACCTCTGCAAGAACGGGCAGGTAAGTGGGTCCAGTGACCGCCCGCCTTCTCACCATGCACCCCATCTGCACCCCGGGGTTCCCTGTCCTGCCCCGAGCCACAAAGATGTGCTCTGGGTGCACCCCTGCCTGTCCTGTCCTCCTCCGGACCATTGGGATGTGCTCCGGGTGCACCCCTGGGTGCTCTCCCCTTTTCCCTGCCCTGGGGACATCCTCTGATGGCACCTCCAGCATATCCTGTCCTTCTCCCAGGCACAGGGATACACTCCGGGTGCACCCCGGCGTTGCCTTGTCCTTYTCCCAGACCCGGAGATGTGCTCCGGGTGCACATCCACGATTCCCTGTCCATCTCCCAGCCATGGAGATGTGCTCTGGCTTTCCTCTGGAGTGCCCTGTCCTCCCAGCTCCGGAGATGCTCTCCAGCGGCACCTCCAGGATGCCCCGTCCTTCTCCTGGCCCTGGAGATGCACTCCGGGTGCCCTGTCTTTCTCTCAGCCGTGGGGACAGGCTCTGGGAGCACCCTGGGGTGCCCTGTCCTTCTCCCAGCTCCGGGTTTCCCCCCGGGCTGCTCAGCCCTTCCTGCAGCTGCGTCCCTGCTGCACCCGCTCCTTCCCTGGCTCCAGAGCCGCATCCCCAGGGCGCCCGCACAGCCCCAAGTACCCTCCACGTCCCCAGGCACCCACGGCGGCCCCAGGCGCGCTGTCTCCTGCGGCGCCCCCGGCCCCTCCGGGAGATCCCTGCGGTGCCTGGGTGCTGCGTCCGGGTGCGTCCTGCGGTGCCTGGGTGCTGCACAGGGGCCACCCCCCACGCCAGCTTTGGGGCGCCCTCCCCCCCACCTCCCCGGGGACCCCCGCACCTCCGTGCCCGCTCGTGTCACCCCTCATGTCATCTCTAAGCACCTAACGCCGCCAATTCCTCATTAAACCTGAGACCCACTAACGAACTCGGCGGGGTTGAGATCGCTTTAACGCGTCGCCTCCCGCTGCATCCTCAGCATATGGCAATTCCCCCCCGCAAACACCCCCCTTGCACCCCCAAAGTCAGAGGGAGATATTGCAGCGCTCGGAAGCCCTAATTTATTTATTTATTCCCAGCTCCATACAACTATATATATGTAAATTTATAAATATATATATATGTATATATATATATGTTTCACCCCAACATGCCCCCCCCGAGCTGTGCGCTGGGCTCCGTGCTGCCCTGAGGGCTCACACTCAGTAGCCTTAATGAGAGCCTGGGGACCCCACGTGGGGCGGGAGCTGCTCCCTGTGCTTAATTACCATTAATTAATTATTTGCCTTACATAGGAGTGGTGGGGAAGGTGGATGGCGAAGCAGTGCAGGTGCTGCCGCGCGGAGCCCTGGCCGGGGCACCCTGGTATAACCGGGTGCCCGAGCACTGCACCCACTGCTCCTGCTGCACCCGCGGCACCCACTGCTCCCGCTGCACCCACTGCTCCCACTGTGCCCGCGGCACCCACTGCTCCCACTGTGCCCGCGGCACCCACTGCTCCCACTGCACCCGCTGTGCCCGCTGCTCCCGGGGCACCCGCTGCTCCCGCTGCTCCCGCTGCTCCCGCTGCGCCAGCGGGCAGAGCGCGGCCCCGGCACGGCGCACGCCGCCCCTCTCCATGCCGGGCCCCCTGGGGGGCAGCACCTCGTGCACCCAGGGCACCTCGGCAGCCCGGATGCAGCACCCTTAAATGCGAAGGATCCGGGAGCGGTGCCCGTGGGGCCCCGCAGGCACCCGGGGCCGGAGCAGAGAACCCGAGTGCCCGGGAGYCGGCGCCGCCCGGACAGGGATTCTTCTCCTGTTCCTTTTCCCTGCTCCGGCACCTCTGGAGCTGGCACCTCCGGAGCTGCCGTGCGGGGTGGCGGCACCCGAGGCAGCGGCTCTGCAGGTGGCTCKGGGTGGGGACAGGACCCCATTGCAGCCGAGAAAGGTTAATTTGGGGAAAACGGGCAGGCTTTGCCGAAGGGCTTTCCCTCCGCGCCCCCACTGGCGCTTTGTCCCCGGCTTTGGCTCACTTTGGGCTGGGGGAAGCGGCGTCCCCGTCCCCATGTGCCATCATACGGCGGGGGACAAAAAGCCACTGGCTTTTAAGGAGGTTTTAGTGTTTGCCGGCACTGTGCGGGGATGGGGGACCCTAGGTCTGCCACTGCCCCGCGTGAGGAAACTGAGGCACAGGGCAGCTCTGTGGCGCCCCTGGGCCGGGCCCTGCCATCCGTCACGGCTGCTTGGGGCTGGCGCGGCAGGCGCGCGGTGACAAGGCATCTCCTTAACGAGGCGAGACGAATGGCCCCGCGTGCGCGGGGAGGAGGGGACGCGGCTGCACGAAATGGCTCTCGCCGCCGTGCGCCGGCACGCGCATCCCCGGCGCCGCGGGAGGCAGTGCCAGGGCCGGGCCGGCTCCTCCAGGGCTTCCGCGCCGGAGCCGCTTCCCTCAGCTGCTCCCGGAGCTGAGGCCGGGCAGAGGGCTTAGAGAAAAGGGTGATATTTAGTGYGGTGACAGCATGACAGCAGTGGGGGCTGCGTGCGCGAGAGTRATCCCAGTGAGACTGTGTGGCGGCCATCAGTAGGCTTCAGAGTGAACAGCTTCTGAACAGCAGGCTAGTTCAGAGCTGCGGCCGAGGAGGGCGCTGAGCCCTGGGCAGAGCCCCACCGCGGCGCCCCTGCCGAGAGCCCGTTTGGACCCCGAATGGTCCAGGGCCCTTGTGCTGRGGCACCCAGCGGGTGCCAGCGGGACCGGGTGGCCCCCGTGCCACACGGCAGGGCTGGAGCTGTGGAGCACCCGCTGTGCACCCGCTCCCAGCACCCGTGGGTGCCCCAGAGCGGGGGGCACAGGCTGCCTGCCCCCAGCACTCGTGAGTGCCACATAGCAGGGGCACAGGCTGCCCGCTCCCAGCACCCATGGGTGCCCCACAGCGGGGGGCACAGGCTGCAAGCCCCGGGAAGGGAAGCGCCCCGGGGCTGCCCAGGGGCCGGCCCTGGCACCCACTGTCCAGGCACCAGGGCAGGGGCTGAGGGGCGGACGGGAGGGCACACTGGGATGTGCAGTGGGGGTGGGGAGGCCAGGCAGGGGGTGACATTGGGGTGCGGGGCTGACGCGGGGGATTTGGGGGGGCAGGACCCACGCGGGGAGGAGAGGCCAATGTGGGACGGGACACAGAGACACCAGGGCATAGAGCCGGGGACACGGGAGACGGGGCCGAAACAGGGACACGAGGGAGGAACACGGCAGGGACACGGGAGATGGGGCCGAAATGGGGACACGAGGGAGGAACACGGTAGAGACACGGCGGGAGGGCGGGAGGGACCGTGAGGCCAAGGTGGGAGAAGGGCAGGGGCCCGGGCAAGGACACCAAGGCACAGGTCTGCGCTGGGGACACGGGTGATGGGTCTGGAACAGGGACACGGGGACGCAGGACCACAGTGGGGCTGAAGCTTGGGAGCGAGGCAGGGACACCGGGCCAAGACAGGGACGCCAGAACACAGCACCAAGGTGCGGACGGGACCAACAGGGGCACGGGGGGCCGGGGCCAGGCAGGTCCCCCGGGCCGCGCGACACCAGGGCCGGGGTGACGCGGGGTCCCCGCGCAGGTGCGGGCCAGCGCCATCGCGCAGGACGCCGACCAGAACTACGACTACGCCAGCAACAGCGTGGTGCTGCACCTGGACTCGGGCGACGAGGTGTACGTCAAGCTGGACGGCGGCAAGGCGCACGGCGGCAACAACAACAAGTACAGCACCTTCTCGGGCTTCATCATCTACTCGGACTGAGGCGGCCGCGCGGCGCCGCGTAAAGCCGAGCTCAGACCCGCGCCCGCCTCGCTCTCCTTTCTTCGGGCCCCGGCCCGCGCCGTCCGCCGCGCTCGGGGACGGGGACCCTGCTCTGCTGTCCCCAAGGAGCCCCCGGGAGGGACCCGAGGGCCCCGTGTCCCTCTGCTCGCCGTGGGGACCCAGAGGCTGTGACATGATGGAGCCGCCTTGTCCCGGGAGGCCTGGGGCACCGTCACCTCTGCCCCTGCCCCCTCCCGTGTCCAGGGACGGCGGGAGCCTCCCGGGGCAGCGGGTGACGCTGGCAGGAGCCTGTGGAGGCACCAGGGCCACGGGGAGCCCGGGGGGCTGCAGGGTGGCCGGGAGCCCACGTGGGCACTGAGGCCAGCGGGGCCGGACCCACGGGGGCCCATGGAGGCACTGAGGCCACGGGGGGGCCGGGGAGGCGTCGAGGCCAGGGGGCACCACGGGAGGCCGGGCTGTGGGGCTGCGGGGGACGAAGGGGTGCGTGGGACGAGCGGCTCCGCGGGATGAGTGGCTCCGTGGGATGAGTGGCTCTGAGGGCCGCAGGGCTCCATGGGACGAGCAGCTCCATGGGACGAGTGGCGCCGCAGGACAAGCAGCTCCATGGGACGAGCAGCTCCATGGGACGAGTGGCTCCATGGGATGAGCAGCTCTGTGGGACGAGCGGCTCCATAGGACGAGCAGCTCCATGGGACAAGCAGCTCTGTGGGATGAGCAGCTCCATGGGATGAGCGGCTCCATGGGACGAGCGGCTCCGTGCCGCCGTGCCAGCCCTGTCCCCTGGCACTCGGGAGTGGAGGCCAGGGGCTCCGTGGGGCCAGCGGGGCCCCCAGCCGGSAAATGGGAAGGCGGCAACTGGGGCCCGGCCGGTGTCCAGGCGGGATGGGCGATGACACCCGCCCCCCTCGAGGGGCTCTCGGCGGCTCCTCCCCGCCCCCTCCGCCCCCCGCCCCCCGGGCTGCAGCGGGGAAGGGGCCCAGGCGTCCAGGCGGCGTCGGGCGCTGCGGGACTACGATTCCCGTGAGACCCCGCGCGCGGCCGCAGGGCACGTGATGCGCGGACGCCAATGGGAGGAGGCGAAGCGCGCGGCCAATGAGGAGGCCCGGAGGGGGTTGCCGGGAGATTTGAACGCGCGCGGCGGAAGCGGCTGCGTGAGGTGGGGCTGGGGGCTGTGAGGACCGGGGGGGGGACCGGGAGGGACCGGGGGGACAGAGCGGGGCCGGCCCGCGGCTACGGCGGGCGCCGGGCCCGGAGCCGCCCTGGAAGCCCCGTTCGGGCCGTTTTGGGGCCGCAGGGGCTCGGAGGCTGTAGGGGACCCGCAGGCTCCTGGGCGGGGGTCTTACGGAGCGGGGG